CATCCCCGCAAGCATGAAGGACGGCGGGGACTCCAAGGACCAGCAGCTCACGGTGAGACGCCCGTCGAGGGCCCCACCTGTGGCCCAGACTCAGATTCCACCCCCGACAGACAGAGCGGTCCTTCCCCCCGCCCCCCCAAAGGACCCTCAGGACCAGGGAATGCGACTGTCCGAGAACTTTCCGAGCCCGAGCCCCGGAGTCAGGCAGGAGGGCGTCCTGCTGAGCCTGCGGCCAGCCCGCCGCTCCCTCTACACCAGCGGTTCTCAGCCTGGGCTGCACATTAGAACCGCCTGGGAATCTTGTTAAAATCCTGATTTCTGGGCTGCATCCTCCGGAAATTCTGTTTCTTTGTTATGAGGTGAGGCCACAACATTAGTAACAAAGAAACAGAATTTACCGAGGGTGAGAACCACTGGTCTAGATCTTGCCCCCAGGGGCCCCAGCCCCAAAGCCTGCCCCATGGGTCTCTGGGACAAGACTGCTCCCCCATCCGGAAACGCCAGGGCAGGCCTGGCCCTCCTCCTAGAAGAGGAAGGAGGGAGCCAGGGGGTTCCCCAACCCAGTGGAGTCGGGAATTTAAAGGAGCTGGGCATCACAGGTAGACGAGAGCCTCCAGGTGCCAGGGGAGCCGGCATGGGGCCGGGGTGGCTGGTGGTTGGGTTGCAACGAAGATGCTGTCCAAGCGAGGACTAAATGGTCCAGAGGATGCTGGGAGCCGCTGAGAGGGCGCCCGGAGCCAGCCCTGGGGTCCGGGCAGATGAAGAGGTGTGAGTGGGGAGTGGGGTTCAGGTAGAGACTGAGGGCGGACCTCCTGATTCTCAGTGGTGCTGGGTCAGAGTAATGGGGGGAAGGCTCAGTGACCCCAGGGCCACGGCCCCCTCCCTAACTTCTGAGATCTGGGCACGGGCCTTTATCCCCCGCAGGTGGGTGGTGATGTCACGGGAGGATGCTGCTGCTCCCAGACACTTCGCCTCTGCCGGGCTAGCTGGCTGCTCCGAACTGGAGCCAGGGCCCCAGCCCCCCAGCAAGCCCCCGGCCCTGGAACCCCCTCTCTGGCTGTCAGGAAGGCTCTCTTTGAAAGCAGCTTGATTGGCATGTGTGGTGTGTCCGGCACCGCAGGGCGGGAGCGTCCTCCCCTCCCAGCAGCGGAGTTTGGCTGAGGCGTCCGGTGCAGAGGCCGAGCGTGCAGTTATACCCACACACCTGCAGGCATTTCCCCTTGATCAGCAGAAACACACATACCTCCGTCCTTTTTTATTTTAATTCTTCGTTTTCTCTTTTTGTTAATCCTCACCTGAGGATATTTTTCCATCGATTTTTAGAGAGAGTAGAATGGAGGAGGAGAGACAGAGAGAAACATCGTTGTGAGAGAGACACATAGATCAGTTGCCTCTTGCACCCACCCTGACCAGGCCTGCAACTGAGGTATGTGCCCTTGACCGGAATTGAACCCAGGACCCCTCAGTCCGAGGGCCGACGTTCTATCCACTGAACCAAACCGGCTAGGCACGCCCCCATCTCTGGGCAAGGCTCATGCAGAGAGAAGACCCACCGGCTCCCAGTGGCTGGAGAATAGGGAGCGTAGGGGCCCCATAGCGCTGTCCTTGGGTAGGAATGTGGGTGGACCCAGGTTGAGGAGGGGAAGTTCCCCGCCCCCAGCCCCATCCTGCTGTGCTCAGTGCTGCCCCTGTGGTTGCAGTTCCTTATTCACAGGCACGGACAGCCTACTCTAGTGCCAGGGGCTCCAAGTTCAAAGCACAAGGGAGCGGCCACCGTTTAACGTGGGCATGTGACTGATGCAGCCCGGAGGAGCGGGCAGCACTCTGCCACGGGATCGCCCTGAGCCACGGGCTCCTGGGGAAATGCACACACTCAGCCCCAGCCCCCATTCGCTGCACCTCCTGCCCTGACCCAGGTGGTTGTCCTGAACCACTGAGTTTCCCGTAAGACCAAGGAGGCCTGAGACGGCTGGACAGAGGAGACGCCCTGGGCTTGCCCTAGCGGAATCCCCGGTCCTCTCATCCTTCTCTCTGGGGCCCAGCACAGCCCTTTCCGTCTCACCTCAGGGGTCTGGCCTTCCCTCCCAGGTGGCGCTCCGGGTTCGGCCCATCAGCGTGGCGGAACTGGAGGAAGGAGCCACCCTCATCGCCCATAAAGTGGACGAGCAGGTACGAGGGGCTGTGGCTGGGAGCTGCAGGCCAGGGCACAGGTCTGTTCCTACCTCATGGGGGCAGGTACCTGCTCACCTGGTAGAGACGGGAAGCGCCCTGTGGCTTGCTGCACCATCCTTCTTCTGCCCACTGAACTCTTGGCTAACACTGAATTGGCGACATCATCAAGGAAACAGGCTTCTTTTTCCAGGAAGCCTTCCTAGATTGATCCAAGGAGAGCTGAACGTTTCCCTAGCCTGGGTGGGTCCTGATCCCCAGTCCAGTTCTAAAACTTCCGCTTCCATGTGCCCATGACATGACTTTCCCCTTTTAATATGTGTGCTACGCATAGAGCACACATTTACATGGTCTAGCCCGCCTCCGGAGTATTCCTGTTTTGCAAAGTCCTGGGATGTCTGTTTGCTCTCTTGATCCTCATGTCACCATGATGAGGTGAGCAGGGCAAGTCCCACCTCTGTTTACACAGGAGGCAATCAGTATTTATCAAGTACCCACAACAGGCTGGTGACAGTGCCATGGTGAAGAGAAAAGACCCTGTCCTCCCTGGTTACCTTAGAGTCCAGTGTGGGCGGACAACACATTAATCACAGCGTTGCATCACAAACAGATGGGGGTTAGCGGCCCACAGGGCCTACAAAGAAATGCATAGTAAGTAGGAGGGGGACTTGGCCTGGTCCCGCAGGTCAGGGAGAAACGGTGCCTGGGCTGAAACAGGAGGGATGAAGAAGTGTCATCAGGACTGTGCCGAAAGGGAGAAATCTCAACCACAGGGACTGGCATGTGCAAAGGCCCAGTGGTGAGAGAGACTGTGATAGGCTTGGGTAACTGAGAAAAAAACTGCCCCAGCCTGTTTGGCTCAGTGGATCAAGTGTCGGCCTGTGGACTGAAGGGTCCCAGGTTCGATTCCAGTCAAGGGCACATGCCCAGGTTTCGGGCCTGATCCCCAGTAGGGAGCATGCAGGAGGCAGCTGATCAATGATTCTCTCTCATCATTGATGTTTCTATCTCCCTCTCCCTCTCCCTTCCTCTCTGAAATCAATAAAAATATACATATATTAAAAAAGAAAAAACTGATGTGGCTCAAGCAGGAGAGAGGTTCAGAGAGCGGGCTGGAGGTGTGAGCTGAGGCTGGAGATGTGGGCAGGGCCAGCCCACACACTCTGTGGGTCATAGCCAGGATGTGTGCTTGGGGAGGCAGTTGAGGACTCAGGTGCTGGGGTAGGAATGGGCACAGTGGTACGGGCACCAGCAGCAGGTTTGGGCCCAGGTAGGAGCATCTCGGTGGCATGGCCTACGGCAGTGATGGCAAACCTATGACGCGTGTCAGAGGTGACACGCGAACTCATTTTTTTGGTTGATTTTTCTTTGTTAAATGGCATTTAAATATATAAAATAAATATCAAAAATATAAGTCTTTGTTTTACTACGGTTGCAAAGATCAAAAAATGTCTCTATGTGACATGGCACCAGAGTTAAGTTAGGGTTTTTCAAAATGTTGACACACTGAGCTCAAAAGGTTTGCCTTCACTGGCCTAGGGGACTGCAGATCAGGTCCGGAGAGAGGCCTGCAGAGAGAGAGGCAGGGTCTGATCCCTAGCCTCTGTGGCAGCTGTGGAT